ATCTATTGATTCTTTCAATAACAATTTCTTGACCACCTATTGTATGCCTGCTACTGTGTTGGGTGCTAGGAATACAATTGTGAACACTATTGACACTGTAATTTCCCTCAAAGAGTTTATAATCTGGTAAGGAGGAGTTTTTCAGCTTTGCTTCTTAAATAAACAGTCTTTTAAAAAATAAAATAGCAACATAAATATGAATCATAAAACCTGTCTGAATAAATAAAAGCATGTGGGGGAAAAAAGGCAAAACTTGCAATTCAAATATTTACAAAAATAATATTTGTGTATAAAGCAGGCACAGTTAAAATAGAAGGGAAAAAATATTTTTAAAGACTTTTTTTTTCTAGCCCAGCTGGCATGGTTAAGTGTTGACTTATGAACCAGGAGGTCACAGTTTGATTTCTGGTCAGGGCACATCCCCATATTGTGGGCTCAATCCTCAGTGGGAAGTTGTGCAGGAGGCAGCCAATCAATAATTATCTCTCATCATTGATGTTTATCTTTCTCTCTCTCTCCCTCTCCCTTCCTTTCTGAAATCAATATATATGTTAAAAACAATTTTTTTCTAAACTCATATTCTTGAAAGGGCTTCAATAGAGAGAAGTAATTAAGCAAATTTAAAAGATTTTTTTCCTCTGGTTCTAGTGGAACTCTGAGTTTTAAGAAGAAAAATAAAGTCTATTAAAATTGCACACAATTTAAAAACCAATAGTGACTATACAAACATGAAATAAAAGTAGAGTCAATTTTCAAACAATTCAATTGTTGTGTGTGTGTGTGTGTGTGTGTGTATGTATATGATTAGCTTCATAGTGGAAACTTTGCTAGTAGTGGTAATATGTATACAAACATCCACAGACCATCCTGGGGAAAATAGGCCAAGGCCAAACAAGTTCATACACACCTAGTTTTATTATGAAAGATGCTCATTAACTACTTAAGTGTTTACCATAAGAACTGCCTTCTGTAGACCATGACTCAACTTCACCTTATTTGTATCTTTCCCTGTACACCCCTTCTCCCAATCTGGGGTAAACTTCAGACCTGAAGTCAGACGTCCCTGTCACTATCATGAGTCATACACCATTAACTGCTACAAGAGAAAAGACACTAGAACAGGGGATGAAGGGGCTGGGGAAAGGGTATGGGTAAGATGGATAGATAGGAAGTGAGCTTTCCCTGTGCTAATAAATGTGGAGCAGAAGTGCTGTCACCATGTCCTCAAAACTCCCTGAAGAAGGGATGGTAAAAATGGAGCGATGTGCTATAGGACTGGCCAGCCCCACTCTGCTGCTTGCTCAGTGGCACAGAGCCTGGGCAAATTTGTGGCTATGAGGCAATGGCATCATATGAGGAACCCAGTGTTTTTTATTCTTGCTTATCTTTATAACAGTTCATCTCTGCTCCTACCATGGACCAACTCAAGGATGAATTACACCAGGTATCACATTATTTCTTTCATATTATTATTTTTTTTAACGTACATAACAAAAATTACATGAGGTGCACCACAGAGACAGAAAAAGTTAGGATTGCCCAGGAATGGAATCCAGTAGAGCCTAATGCTCAGTTGGGTGAGGGCCAAGGATATTTGTAAGATTGATTAATAATCCCCTGCCTGTGGATCAATCATATAGTTGTGGTGTACCTTTTAAAACCATGAAAAAGTTGTGAATTTTTCCATAAAATAAAAATCCTTATTTTAGAAATGCATTAAAAGGTACACTTTTATTAGAAATGAAAGCAGTCATTTGTTTTTCCGTGACAGTCACCTTCAGCGTTGATATTCATTTCATGATGAGAATTCTGTAGACAAATGAAGGTCAAAGCTACCCTAAACTCCACTTGGGAGGAAAACTATTATTTTTGTAAATGTTATCAATGCACACATATGTAGACATATAAATATTTATACAGAAACCTCCTGCCTAGCCAGTGAACAGAAATGGCAATAGAATGATGTGCTCTGAGAATCCTCCCTGTGTGACTGGACTTGCAAATCAGGAGCATATTGTGTTTCTTTTGCCATCCCTACCACTGTGGCTAATGAAGAAAGATGAGTATCTATATATATAAAAGGCTAATATGCAAAGTGTCCCCTCAGGAGTTCAAACAGAAGTTCAATTGCTCACTATGATGTGCACTGACTACCATGTGGTGGCACAGAATGAAGGAAGGTCCCAGCCAGCAGCTGGCAGCCAGTGAAGGGAGGCCCCGGCCAGCAGTCAGGAGGAAGGCCACAGTCAGTAGCCAGAAGGCCTCCATCAGCCCTGATCACCAGCGAGGCCTAGGGAGCCTTCCCATGCACAAATTTTGTGCACCAGGCCTCTAGTTTCATGTAACATGAGCAGAAAGGGACTTTGGATTCTACCCAGTATATAGAAAAGAAAAGATGAGATGCCCCAGAAAGTAAGGTGACTTACTTAGATAAACCTAGATTTCTTGACTCTCAATCAAGAAATGGTAAGTGATATGGTAAGTATAATCAGAGTAGTAATCTATGGTATAGGGAGAGGTAAAACATTATCAAGTTGACTAGTGGACGTAGAAGACATTATAGTAGTAAATTTAGGAGAAACTATGAAGGTTAACCAGACTGTAGAGATAAAGAAAGACCATAGGTTGAAGTTTGAGAATATTTCTATTTCCTGAAACCATAAGAGTAAGGCAGATAAGAGCATAGTAGAAATACAACCAAGAAGAGTCAGGGTCTTTGGGTAAAGGTGCACCATGCATTTGATTCCTCAAGCTGCTCTAGGAATTGGACCCGACCTTATGGTTAAAAATAAATAAATCCAGATAAAAACTAACCAGTAAATAGAGGCAGAGTCATTATGATGTAGGAGACACTATCTTGAAGGAAAGTCTGGGGAGGACTTGGATAAAACTGAGTCACAAACAACAATGACACCATGGGAAAGAAAATGATTTATGGCTGACTTTTGTCTGAAAATTGCAAAGCAAGCCTCTAAGTCTTATTGGACTGCTGCTGCTCCCCTGATTTAATGAGGAAGCAACATACCATATTGTCCTATCTGTGCATCGGCAACTGGAAGGAAACTCCAGATGCTCTGGAGCCTCATGCTCTAGGGTTTCAGGGAAGAATGGATCAATGAGCCACCCTTGCTATTGCTGCAAGGACTGGGCCCAGTGAGGGGATGAGAGACCAAAACATGAATAACAACAATAAAGCACTAGGCCTGCATTCTACTTTTGCATGTTTGTTGTGTTTGTTTGTTTGTCAATTGTCACCCAAGGATATTTTTCCCATTGATTGTCACAGAGAGTGGAAGAGAGGGAGTGGGGAAAGAGAGAAACATCAATGAGACAGAGAGACACATTGATTGGTTGCCTCTTGCACGTGCTTCCAAGCCCAGGAATTGAAACTGCAACTTAGGTACATGCCCTTGACTGAGAATCAAACCCACACTTCAGTGTACTGCCCAGCACATTGAGCGACACAATCCAGGGCACACTTCAGCATTTTAAATCTTATCATAGGATCACATATTTAATCTCTACAGGAAACCTGTAGAGGTTTCAGCATTTTAAATCTTATCATAGGATCACATATTTAATCTCTACAGGTTACACAGGTAGAAATTATTCATCCCTTTTAAGAAACGTGTACACCAAGGCTCAGAGAATCGTATGTTACTTGTGGAAGGTCAAACCACTGGTAGCAAGGTCTGAGAACCTGCATTTCCGATTCAATTCTCCATGTCAGTGAACAGATTTACACAAAATGGAATCACAATCCACAATTAATGCAGAGATTTTTCAAAAGGCATCGCCTCGAATTCCACAGAAATTGTATGTTTAAAGTTCACATAGTTCCTTCTAAATAATTTTTTCCAATGGAAATAGAAATTTTTGACATGCATCAGCCTGGTCTCAATGAGTGGTTTATTCTAATTAAGATTTCTAGTGAGTGCAAATAAAATAAATCACTTTTCAAATTTAGATTTTAAAGTTAATGGAATGAGATGCATCTGGTAATTTGTTCTGTTAACATTCTATAATTGAACAGAGGTGGGAGGAGGCTCAAAATCAGGCTATACAAACCCTTTCATGATTACTTAATACTCTTTCGGGGTGATCACAAAGCAGCAGTTAAGATATCACTGTTTCTTGTTCCCTGAAAAACTTTCCTCTAGGTAAGAAGCAAAGCTATAAATGGAAATGCAGTAACAGTTATGACAAGCTACCTATGGCCTCTGCAACACATCTGTAGGGGCACATCCATCCCAATTCCTATTTATGTTGGGTATCATCATTTTTTTGGTAGGGCTCATTGTCATGTGATATATGAATAAAGCTAATTAGGGTTAACTGTACTTATAAAAGTTGTCAATGAATGTTAAAGTGTCCCATATTTATGCTCTTTGCATTTCAAGATTTTCTTATAAACATATAAGTCATAGAGCCTTTTAGTACATACTCTGTTAAATTAACCTAATGGTTAAAAACAGAAGCTACTATCTTAACAGATGATCTCAGCATGAGATATAATTTGTGTATTTGTTGCAGGCATATAATAATAATACATAAAAGATTAAAATATACAAGTCCCAGAACTCTTAGTTACTATTAAGTTAGGTTCAATGAGCAAAACAAATATGAAAAACTATTTTAAAAGTTCATAAATAATATTTAATGTGTTTTTTGAGACAGGCCAGACAACATTACTTACCTAAACTTTGCACATGGTAAAATCAACAACAAATATAATTTCACAGGTAATATTTTTATTAATTTCATGAATGTGTATATGTTTATATATACATATAGCCCAGGAAATAGCCATCAATATTACAATTGTATTTTTTCCTAAGATAAATAGATATTACATATTATCTGGACTTACCTATACTAGTGAGTCTGTTTCATTCAAAATAGAGGTAACTACGATCTCTAAATCATCAAAAATGATGTCTATCCAACATTTGAACATGTCTTCTATCAAAAGTGAAATGGGTTAAGTGAAAATTTCTTACCATCCAAGCTGTGACAAAGTCCCCCATCCAGGTCCCTACAGCAGCTACTTTCATGAAACTTTCATTTCGGATGCCCATATAGTCTGTAATGATATATGCTCTGTGGAAACAAACACACAAGAGATTGTCCAGACTGAGAGAGCCATACAGTCAAAGGTTTCTGGTTCAGCACAATGCAAAGAGACATTTACCCTCTCGGTAAGCTTTCCTGCTTCCCCTCTTCACATGCACTTTCCAACTGGAGAGGCTAGGAAGGGCTCTGAGGAGTGTGGGTCAGTTCCAATTAGGTGAGAAAGATTGTGGCTATGCCAATTACCATGTGCATTCCATTTTGAGCTGTAAGACTGACAACAGCTTTTGGAAAATCAAACAGAAATACTCAGCAAAGGCATTATTTCATGCTCACTCAAGCATGAGGAGAGCAGAAACAACTGTCGAATTAGAGTAACTTGAAAGGAAAGAGAAGAGCTCACTTTCCTTCAGCCTGTCAAGGCAGGGCTATTGGAGAGGGGCTGGGACTAGGCTTCAGATAGAAAACCTGAAAAATGTTTGGAATAATGTCAAGATCTGGGGGAAATTTCCACATGATAAAGCAAAATGTGATTCAAAGATATCTACTTTAAATTATTACTTATGTAACACTAGCCAGAAATTGAATTTCACCACTCCTTTTGTTTAGCTAACCCTTGTTTGTTTGCTAACACCAATTCGCACTCTTCACAGGTCAAGGAGAGATACAAAGGTATAACAAGTAATGAGACCTTGCTTATTGTTTACTCCGAATTTTCATTTCCATTTTCTCCTTTGATAGTCAAGAAAATCCTAAGTATTATTTTCCCATTTTTTAATTTCTCAGAAAACTGCAACTTAGATCAGTTAACTTGCCTAATCAATATCACATAACTAATGAATGGTAGTTAGGAACTAAATATCATTCTCTCTCTCTCTCTCTCTCTCTCTCTCTCTCTCTCTCTCTCTCTCTCTCTAACTTTGTTCCTCTCAGATTTTTTTACTTGAAATTGTGTTCCTTTTCTTATATGAAAATACCTGTACAGTTTAGAGTACTATTTGAACCTGATTCTTCTTAGATTAACTTTAAAAAAAAAACAGTAAAGAATGATATGTTTGTCATTTACCTAATAAATGTATGAAGAAGCACATATTTTGAAGCCATTGAGAGGCAAACCATCTCCAGGTTAGTCATGTATGTTCTGGTGTTATTTCAGATAGTTTTTGTAATCCATAAAATAAACAGATAATGAAATAGTTTTACTTAATAACAAAAACGAACTTATGAACTTTAAAAAAAAAACTATCTTTTTATATGCTTCATTCACCTACCTTGGAAAATCTGCATAAATCTCTTAAGGTCTCACCCCAAAATTCTGCATGTCTAACTCCATGTTCCATAGAAGCCAAAACATTTATCGCTGCCATAAAGTGCACACTTCCAATGTGCCAGAGACCGTTATTAGCACTTTAAATACTGTGTCTCCACATGTCAGGACAATGATATGTATCATTATTCCTGTTTTATCGACATGGAATTAAAGCTTTAGAGAGTTTTTACAACTTTTTCAAAGTCAAGCATTTAGTAAATGGACAAGTTTTGAATCTAAATTTGATTGACTTCCAAATCTAGGCATTTAACCACTATGCTATACCTTCTTCCTACAAGTGCTAAGGAGAGATAAAAATAAAAACCACAAAGGATAACTGCTCTGTTTACCAGTATTTTAGCAGGCATAACTTATTTCCTTTGAGGATAATTGATAAAAAGTCAGAAGAGCATCCAGAAGCTGCATCTCCCCAGAGCTACCACCAAGTCTCTGACTCCACTGAGTTCCCTAATCAAGCAGCCTTTACTTGAAAGCCCCCATGTTGACTTGGACAGTTGGTGTTACTCCCATCAGTACTACTACTGCTGACAGTCCTCAGGCAGTGAACTCAGTGTACTCTGAAGTATTAGCTCTGATAACTGTCCAGCTCTTCTGATGACACCTATTTTGAAGAATATGTTCAATGCCACACCCTACTTGTCTACTTGCCAATTAGTTCTAGAATGCAGTAGGCTAGGGTGGAAATGTCAGGGCACATTCGTTGTGGTTGAATAGATGTGTATAAAAGAAGGTATTCTTTTATTCAGTATCTAAAAATAAAAATGAGATAAACTTGCAATAGATCAGTGATCCGGTTCCCCCAACACCCCCAAAAAAATACCTAAAAAATCTAAATAAAATTACCCCCAAATTCTGCTTAAAGACATATGAGAGCTGATTAAACAATGAGAATTGAAAAAAACCGAGATACCAGATTGAAAAGAATCATAAAAAGGAGAGCTGTATTTCCTGAGGGGACATTTTCTGATTCTGGACTTTGCCTGGACACAGGGCAGTCTTGGACTGTAAAGACATGAGAAACTTAAGGAGCCAAGATCCTCCTGAGAGAATAGGGGCCCAGAAAGGCGCATGATACTTTTGCTAAAATTTGAGTTTGTTCAGGGGGTAAGCTAAGACACTCAGCAGAAAGTCCCTGAAGAGCACAGCAGAGGTCTGGCAAGTTCCCCATGCTGAAGAGATTGCTATAGTTCAGAACCCGCCAGATGGGATGGTCCAAGAGAATACATAGAGCCATGGAGGGTGGGAGAAATCTACAGACAGATGGTCCTTGACAAAACTGGGAATCAGTCCTTGCCAGTCCATTCAATGCCTGGATTTAGGTGATCAGGTTTTTGTCCTCCTACTTAACAGAGGAAAGAAGGAACCTTTTCTGAAAGAATAAAATATCACTTACATCCTCTTTATATATATATATATATATATATATATATATATTTTATATAACAGCCAACATTCATTCAAACATTACTAAGATGTCAAGAAATAGAACCGTACCACTGAAAACCAAGAGAGAAAACAATATCTAAACAATAAGCTCCAGAAGGACAGGATGTTATTTTGGTTCTTTTCACTATTGATTTGTTAGCACCTAGAGCTATGTCTGCATATAGAAAATGATCAGTATTTGATTAAATGTATGAATTAACTAAATGACCCAAATTCTTCACATTTATTTCTATATGGCATGGGTAGACCTATGCATAGTAAACCCTAGAAGCAGAATAAAATGAGATTGAATCATGAAGCACGCTTCCAGGGAGGAAGACATTAAACATGTTTTTAAACTGTTTCTGCGTGTTCACTTGATTTCTCCACATTTGTATCTCCATGATACTGTCACATGTACATCTACAATGACATATCAGCACAAATCAAAGCTCGGCGCTTTCCCCGTGACTGTGGGCAGGTGATGAGTACTGGATGTTATGAAGATGAGACAGCACAGGGAATTTATAAAATAACTAACATATTTAAAAGTGAAGAGTGATCTATAAAAGTTAGTAGTTAATCTTATTTTTGCTGATTTGGAAAAATTTAAGGAATTACAAATATGCATACCTGTCAAATTTTTTAAATTATTAGTTTACTGATTTGCATATCCATTAACATTTAACTATATTTCCTCTTAGGTTGTAAAGGACAAGGCATGCATACATTTACATCAGCAATTTGAACCAGTCTGAATATCACATTGGACTCATGAAGTTGTGAGACTTTATACCCAATGGTATTAGGCAGTGGTTCTGAATTAAATTTTATTTGCTACGAGGCACCATTAAAGTTTGAGTTTTGTTTGGAGTTTTTACCTAATTATTTCAATTATTCACACATATTTTGCATTGTCTTGTATTGTAGATGATTATCTCTACTATGCATTGTTCTAAAAAATTTTGCAATTCTATCAGCCTTTCAAGTAAATATTGGTCACTAAACTTTTCTTTAAAGATTCTAAATGAATTTTTATTTCAGGCTACAACTTCATGTTTTATGTCTTCTTGAGATTCCAAGCTTACCTGTCAAATTCATAACAAATGTGTAGAAATTTCTAACTACAGGATCTTGGAAAAGTTCTTAATTATCTTAGCCAGTAAATATGAGCTACCAAGATTACTGTAGCTCTCTCTCCACCATGAGAGGATATAGCAGGCAGGCAGCCATCTACAAGCCAGGAAGAGAGCTCTCACCAGAACTCATCGATGCCGGTACCCTGATCTCAGACCCCTAGCCTCCAGAACTGTGAAAATAAATGTAAGACTACTGTATCTAAATGGTCATAAACTAAACAGACTCTACTATGGGCTAAATAGTCAATAAAACTAGAATACGATCAGTTGGTCTTACAGGTGAGTCATGATCACTAGCAATAAATAAATAAATAAATAAATAAATAAATAAATAAATAAATACATAAATAATCCAACTCACTTCAGCCTGTTATTTATATGTAAGTGGATGCTATCATTGCCAGGTGATTTATGAGTTGAGTCTCTGAAAGTTTAACATGAGGCAGTAAGCATAGATCACCAAACCAAAACTGATTCATGCTTCACTGGGGATCCATCTGTGGCCAGATGGTTTCATCTTGTCTCAGCTGTCTCTCCCAGCCATGTTTGGGCAACATAAACAATACGGGGGGCTTCACATATAAGTAAATCATGAATAAGGAGTTGGCTTACATAATTACAGATCTGCATTAAACACAATGAAACAAAACAAAAACTCTAAACATCCTTACGACACTGAGATACAATTGGTCACTACAAAACTTCAGGAAACTATTAACAGCTTTTAATCTAGTCACTTAGTCAACTATTATCCAAATAACCACACTTTAATATTTTGTTCAAAATTCCTAGCTATTGCTTATTAAAAGGCTTTGATAGAGTTCAATATATGTGTATGGACCTTCCAGGAAAGACCTAGTGTATAAAGTTATGGAGCAAAATCCACTGAAATGTCAAAATGATGCAGACAATTGTTAGAAGTGGCCTGAAATGATTACAATTGCAACTGTACCTAACACAGCTTATACACAAAATACCACCTCAAATTCCCCAACTTTAGCCATTTATCCCTTCTAATGTCTATGAGGAAGTCAGATATAAAAAGACTGTAGATGGATCTTTCATTGAACAAACCCACCAAACTTCAACTATACTTTTCACTCCTTACCTAGTTTCAGCCCATTCGGTGAATTTCA